GATGGTGTCTCCCTGTCTCACACCTTTGCCAAGGTCGATTTTCATACTTTCCAGATCATCATCTATTTATACGTGAAAAGTAGCATCATCGTATATATTCTTAAGGAGGGCAGCATATTTTGAATCTACTTTGGCGTCGTCCAATGCTGTTAAGAAAAGCCCATTTCTCGATACTGTCGAATGCTTTGTGATAAATCGACAAATGCCAGATGTAGTGGTATTTTGTACTCTATTGTTTTTTCAATAACTGTCCGGATTGTTTGCAAGTAATCGATAGTGCTAAAATCCTTACGAAAGCCTGCTTGCTCCACTGGTTGGTATGCATCTAGTTTAGCTGTCAATCTATTTGTTATTATTCGGGTTAGTAGTTTGTAAAGGTGTGACAATAAGCTTATTGGTCGTAGTTTTTCATATTTGCGGCTCCCCTTTTTTTATGGAGTAGAATGACTTCCGCATTTTTCCATGCCTTCGGTATTTGTCCTTCAATAGGCATTTATTCAGTAATGCTCTTATTACTCTTCTAATGCAGTGCCTCCATTTTTAGCATCTCTGAAGTAATTTTTATCTTCTCTGGTGTTTTCCCATTTTTCATTTGTTTTTAGGGCGGCTCTAATTTCTGATGTAATTATTTCAGGTAAGTCCTCTGAACCCACATTAAGATATTATGTTTTGTTGGTATTCTCCATTCGCTAGCTCGGGCATATTTTGACAGATCCATTATCGGAAACTTACAACACAAAAATTCCTACTTCTCAGTGTTAATAGCTCAAATATACTACTATTGCAGACTTCTTCCTTTAAAAAAAGAAGAAATTATTCCAAATAGTGGACAGTGTATACTAAAACCCTGTATATTTAAAATATAATATTTGAGTTATTACAATTGAACATATTGTAGTAAATATTTGTATTATTCGCCTTGTTATTTTAGCTAATATAGTTTTATTGTTCCATTATTTTTATTTAATTCTTTGTTAGTTCTATTTAGTTAATTAGTTAGTTCTATTTTGAACTTTATTATTAGATATAGTTAAAGTTTTCCATTTGTTCTATCAGATAATGCGTTGGTAAGTTTTTCTTGAATAAATATAAATATGATAAATGTTCTTTAAAAGTTAATATTTTTAGATGAGTAAGGATGCTGTTAAATTACGAGGTAATCAAACTGCACAAAGATTTATTCAAAACACCAACCATTTTTGTTTAATTAGGTATTTGCCCATTCGGCGTAGGTGGATCATTAAAATATATTTATAAAATTATGTAAATATGTTCTTAATAACAAAAACATTTCAGTTAACATCCAGTTCAGTTTGACATGGCGTCAAAAATTAAATAAAAGCTGTGATAAAAGTTACAGTAATTTAGTTTATATCGTTAAGTTGCTCCAAATGTAGGCAACCAACTTAAACTTTTTGTTAGGATTTAGCTGGAGTTTCTTAAGAATATTTTTAATAAACGTTTATTATTTCCAGTTAATTTATTATTTTTTAAAAGTGATGATAATAATGCTGAATAAGCAATATTTCAAATGATATTTAACACAAACGTACTTAATATTGTGTTATTGTAAAATCCTCATAATAAAGTACGTTAGATAAAAAAGGTAAAATCCCGGGCCGTCCAAAACTAGTTTTCTAATAGGAATAATAGAGATGATGATTTGTTTTAATTATATTTTAGATGATATTGGATATTTTTGATGAATGATATTTTTGAATTATAATATGAATATTATGATATTTTTTATCTAACCTACTTCATAACACAATATTAAGTACGTCCTGTGATTAGATATCATTTAAAATATTGCTTATTCAGCATTATTATCATCGCTTTAAAGATAATAATAAATTAACTGGAAAACATTAAATATATTCTCAAGAAACTCCAGATAAATGCTAAGAAAAAGTTTAAGTTGGTTGCCTACATTTGGCGCAACCTAACGATATAAACTAAATTACCGTAACTTTTTTATAAAACCATATTTTTATATATAATAGAAACTTACATTCTATATACATGCTATAAATTTCTAATTCATAGTATACGTTTGCAAAAGAGGTCGACGATCGGCATTACTCTAATGAAATGCGCTATGAGTACGTGTACTTGGTTGTATAATAATTTCCAGCCACTTCTAGTCTGTCAAAAAGTAACTAACTTCGTAAAAACATAATTACTAAAATCACTAGACAGTTCGTGACTGGCATTAGCGAACGAGTATATACCGCGGTTCGGAATAGTAGAAATATACAGCTTCTCATAAAATTTTCGGATTTCTCTAACGATTCTTCATTATGCGAGCACAATGTTCCACGGTCGTCTTTTATCTTTATGATTTTATTCCTGCAGTGGATTTACATGTTTTTAGTACTTTCATTTTCTTATTGTTTTCTATGGTTTCAAGAATCTGGTTTGTTCTATAAGCTCTGAGCCTTATCGAATATTTTTCTTAACGCTTCTGTTGAGCGCTTTATAGTCCAGGTTATCTCTGTTCGTTTTTCTTCTTTTCTCTATCTGTTCTAGAGTTTCGGGTTTTTAGTTTAGCTTCCTTTTGTTTTCTTATTCTGCAACAAAGTTTCTTAGTGACTGTTTGTATGTCTTTAGTTATTTTCTCAGCTATTTCATCTATAATATCAAAATTTTTAATATAAATTTTATTCACACAATAAATGATAGCTTCAAATTATTGACTATTATTGATGGAACTGTTTGTAATTATTGTTTCTGTAGAAAATAATTGTAATTTTATGGTCAACTAGGAAAAAACTAGTTTTTGGAAAAAGTGATAACGGGCAAAATAGTTTTAAAAAATAATCTGTTAAACTAACGATGTCATAGAATTCATATAATTTGAAGTTACTCAAAAGTTTGGGGCGATTTAGGGCTGCACACCACCCTTAAAATTTTTCTGTGCTCTTAGATTTTGTTGTTTATTTTGTATGAAAAATGCTTTCAGAACAAGAAAGTAACGTATCCATTTTTATTACAAAATGTCAAGTAGTTTAGTAGATAAATTTAGGATAAATAGGAGATAATTTGTGTACACTTTTGTACTAAGGCAAGTTGGATTCAATCAATTTATTTTTGTCCTTGGAATGCGTGATTTAATTTATGACATACTTTTTTGAAACACCCTGTATATGAAATTATGTACTAATATTTTTCTGAACAGCAGTTTTTAGGAAACCCTTTTCGTTTACAAAAATGACGTTGATCTATCTTAAACGTTCATTTTAAAAATTAATTAGCGCATGCAGTCCAAATTTTTAAATAACAAATATTTTACAATGGTAGTTTATTTATACAACATATTTGGAGTGATATTACCCAGACAGTTTAGGATACTCCATTTTGCTACAAGCTAACATTTTCTTCGACCAGAATTTGTCATTATTCTCTTTATAGACTGATGTATATCGTAACCGATCAGTATTTTAAAATACACAAAATCATTACTAGATTCAAGTTCTAAGTTTGGTCTGCACCAGAAAGTAGTTCGTATCACTATCTGGCATTCTCATAGTTCTTTTACTTAGTATCATCATCAGTGACATTACAGCGCGTTCTGAGCCAAAGCCTTCTTTAGAACAATCTTCCATTCGGCCCTGTCTCTGGCAACTATTCTCCATGCTTTAACTCCGATAGATTTTAGATAATCCTCTATTTTATCTTGATACCTAAGTTTTGGTCTTTCTCTGACTCGTCTTCCCACTGGTCCTCTTTGGTCGAAAATTTTTCTGATCGTTGCATCTTCATCTCGCCTAATTACATGTCCTATCCAACGAAGGCGTGCTAATTTAATACATTTTAGAACGCCAGGTTCCCCAAACTTCTGTATAACTCAAAGTTGTAGCGCCTACGCCACAAACCCTGTTCTTGGATTCCTCCATATATTTTCCTTAGAATTTTTCTGTCGAAAAGTTTAAACAATTCTTGGTCGTTCTGTGTAAGTGAGCACGTTTCTAACCCGTAACACTGGCCTTATTATTGTTTTATATACGGTAACTTTAATTTTTCTGGGTAGTTTTAGGGTCATTTGTTTCCTCAAGCCATAATAGCACTTATTGGCAAACACTATTCTTCTTTAAATTTCTTCGCTGACATTGTTGTCTTTACTCAGCAGCGAGCCCAGGTACATGATGGTGTCCATATCTTCCAGTTCCGGATCATCAAATCCAGACTACACTTTCTACGCCTGCGAGTGTAAGTTCCATTAGTTGAACAAGATGAAGTGGCATTTGAAATTCCATCATAGCCTGTAGAAGTTTTTGTCTGTTGATTGAGTCGTATGCAGCTTTGAAATTCACGAATATGTGGTGGGTGTCGACTCCAAACTCAAGCGTTTTCTCAAAAATCTGCCCGACTGTGAAGTCTGACTACTTTAACGTAGTATATCCGTATGGATAAAGGTGTGATATATTTGATTATTGTTCTTTTATACTTTAATCTTTGTGTTGTTTTGAGAATATAATTTTTAACAATCTGTGTGCTTTTGATAACCAGGTGGCAACCTATTGCAAAACATGTCATGTAAGTAATGTCTATCTGCCACATTTATTACATACTCTTTTTTGACTACTATTATAACTTTTAGTAAATATTTTAAATTCAAGTTGCCTCTTAAGAATCTATCTGCAGTTCATAGTTGTTCCGATTTTGGTCTCAAAAATCCGAGTGCTGGTAATCTTCCCGCAATTCATCTCTGTTTTCTCTCTCTGAACGTTCAACATACAGGACGAAATTTTTTTGTGTGATCTCTTGACGAAATGCCGAAAAACTCCTTTTTTATTTTATATTTCAAATAAATATTTATTTTAGATCCTTACAAAAAAGGAGCACAAAACCTGCATTTTTGATTAACAGCTTCAATGGTATCTGGTATATTGTGTTGTGGTTTATTGACTGGTTGAATAATTTTACTAGATGTCGATGCACTAAGTTTACTTTGTGTAAATTGGAAGTGCATTTTGAGCCACAAACTTTTTTTTTGTGGCTCAAACTTTCAAAATTTTTGTTAAAACTTTCTTCTTCTTGCATGGGTAATATTCTGATGAATCAGAGTTAAATTCGTTCTTGGATTCGGGTTTAAATTCATCTGATGTTCCGTTGGGTTCAAAATCGTTCACATCTTCTTCGTCGGAAAAACATTCTTGCAATAACTTTTCTAAACGTCGCTTTTCTTTCTCAAAATGGACATCTTTACTCACCAAATGTTCAACAACAACTGAACTGATCCAATATTGTAAACAAGTTCGCGTTAATCTTTACGAGTTGAAATTTGTGAATATATTACATCAGCATGGTGTGGTCACAGATTGTTCTTATATGGCCCGAAAGCAAAAATTGCAGGTTTTTTATTGTTTTCAATTTTTAATAGCACAAAAAGTTATTGTGGTTATTTTTATTTAAAAATCCAGAAAAAAAATTTGGCCCCACGGACAGATTTTTTTTGTCCATAGTGGCACTCAATGTGTTAAAGCAGAGTTTCCAAAACTTATCTAAACCGTGACCCCTTTTTGCTAAAATATTTGTTCGCGACCCCCCGATTTCCCCCCACTCATTTATTCAATATTATTTAACAGAAATAGCGTGCCTAATTTACAATTATCTGATGGTTTCTCAAATTTAATTTTACTTTAATGTTTAAGTCTAAATCAAAAACGATTATTTTATTTTAATATAATATATAATTTAATAATGGCATTCAAGAAAATATTTTATTTTGTTCTCCATTGGAGACTAATACCACTGTAAAATGTTTACTTGACACTTTTGTGAAACGTACAAGTAAATATGATATTGATTGGGGTAAATGTATTGCTATATGCACAGATGGCGCTAAAGCTATGACAGAACATAAATCTGGTCTTGTCGTCAAAATGCAAGAAATAATGTCTAATTCCAAATGGAGACATTGTTTTTTACATCGAGAGCTCTTGTGTCCAAAGCTTTACCTCCTGAAATGGACTGTGTTATGAAAACCATCATTAAGTTGTAAATTCCATTAAAGGAAAAGCTTTGCAGACCCGTATTTTAGAAAAATTTGCGAAGACATGGGTGATTTATTTGAAAATCTTCTCTAGCCACCGAAGTAAGGTGGCTTTCAAGGGCAACGTCTTAAAAAGAGTATCTCACTTAAGAGCAGAGCTTTTAATGTATTTGTAAGATGAGAAGTCCCATATGAAAATCAATTTTCCGATACTGTTTGGCTTCTGAAACTAGGTTTCCTTGCTGATATTTTAGAGCAATTAAATTTTTTGAACAGTAATTTACAAGGTCGCGACATTAATATAATTACAGCCACAGATAAAATTTCTAAGAAAAATCGATTTATGGTCGACCTCACTTGGCAAAAAACAACTCGATTCATTCCAGTGCCTTCAGGAAATTATGGAAAATGTATCCAATTACAGTGCTACAAATTTTAAACAAGTTTTTGCTGACATGCATGTTACTTTGCTCAATTTAAAACACAGCTCTGTGATTATTTCCCGAAGAAATTCAAAACAGTTACGACAGTTGCAGATGGATACTAAATCCGTTTTTAGCCAATTCCATACCAATAAACATGAAAAAAAAAACTTATTGAAATATCAAGTGATAGAATGTTGAAGCTCCAATTTTTTTCCCAGAACTCGGACCAATTTTTGGACCGAAAATATGCAGGAATACCCCAGTTGATGAGTGAAGCTGTAAAATGTTTGGTTCCATTTGTAACATCATATATGTGTGAGTTAAGTTTCTCGTCTATGACTGCCATTAAAATAAGAGTTACAAATCGTCTCGTACTTGAAAATGATATAATTGTGTGTGTCTCAAATACACAGCCTAGATTTGAAAGATTAGTTTCACAGAAATAGGCGCATAGCTCTCATTCTTCTTCTTTTTGTGCCATCCTATCGGAGATTGGAAATCATCGAGGCTATTCTGACCTTGTTTACGCTGACCTAAAGAGTTCATTAGTGGTGCAGCCCAACCACTCTCTCAAATTCCGCAACCATGACATTCTTCTACGGCCTGGATTTTGTTTTCCTTCTATTTTTCCCTGCATTATATTTTGAAGTAATGCGTATTATGTCCTCTCATCAGGTGACCAAAATATTCGAGTTTTCTTCGCTTTAGCGTTAACAAAATCTCTGGGTCTTTTCCTATTCTTCGTATTACTTCACAGTTTGTTATTCTTATATAGCTCTCATTAGGTTATATTATTTGACTTTGTTTTACTCTTTTATTTTTACGGATTTTAATATTTAGTTTTATATTTCGTCTGATAATTAATTGTTAATTTCTATTTACAGCGTTGTTAAAATAAAAATACATGATCTAACAAAGTGGTGCTTTTGTCTTATTTTGGAAATGTTCGGCAACCCCCCTAGTACCTCATGGCGACCCCCAGGGGGTCGCGGCCCCTCTTTGGGAAACACTGTGTTAAAGTAAACTAGAGTTTGTCTATTTTTTTAATTCTACATATGTGTTTTTTTCTTAGTTTATACTGTTGTTTTCTGTAAATATTATTTTAAATAATTTTATTGGCCATTGTTAAAATATGAATGATGATGGTATAGCCAACTTTACAGTTAAGAAAAAAGAAACACTAACTAAATACTGAACTCCCTTTAAAATACATGTTCTATCACGCCACTGTAAACAATGAATGTTAAATTGGTGTTGCAAACTAGTCCACATACCATTACTGGTTTTATCAAAACAATCAGACAAAAATGATCAATACTCTTGTTCTACTCGCCTATATATTCATAATAAAGTTGATGCTGATCAAATTAGATTTTATCAATTATGTTCGTCGGTGAAAGAAATTAATCTTATTAGCGTGCTCGCGAAGTCTGTAACTAATAAATATTTGCGGGGAAAAGAATTATATGTTAGTGGGTGACTGCGAAAAATATAATTTATACTAATGCACAGGTAAATTGTAATTCCACAAAACTTCTACGAAAATAATTTTTATTGTTAAATATCAGAGAAAAAAATTATGACTGAACCATAACATCATTTAATATCCTATTATCCACACAAAATCTAGTACAGTCATCGTTTCTTTTCACCAAGATAACTGCAAAGTTTCTGCATTTCCTTTAACATTGTTTCCACTTCTGCTCATTTTGTTAACAAGACTCTTATAGGAACTTGTTTGATGAGAGCAGCATTTCCAGTATTTATTCGATGTTCAACAAAGATAGTGAACTGCTAAAGACTGTAAAACATCTAAAAATGTCTTATCTGGGCATATAGTAAGGGAAAGTCGATATAAAGTCGGTCAGATAGCCAAGCGGGCTAAGCAGCCGATTCTCATTCGTTCACTGTCGAATGGTTCAGTGAATATGAGTTCGAGCCTCAGCTCGGTGTACAAAAAAATAAAAAGGCTAACGCAGAAGTTTAAAATTCTAGATGATTCTGCGGCTTAGACTAGAATATGTTGGCGTCTGATCGGCCTATGGTGGAGCAGTACGGCAAGAGATAAGGGCTTGCGTCTCGGTGATAGGTGGTCCCTATCAAATGCAAGACAATTATTCCATATTGCAGAAGATCGAGAAGCCTTGTCCGTGTGATGCCTACATCACACGGACTGCCTTAACATGCCTGAGCCATCAAAATATTAGGGTAAATCCTTTACAGAAGTTAAAGTTACCAAAAAATGTGCATATTGTTGTTAAAAATGAATGATGTTTACTATTTTATTAGATTTAACTTCAGCAACATATAACCATGCCTCATGCTGGTACTCACGGAGTACCAGCGTCCGGAGGGTAGACCTCTTCAAACGGACTTCAGCTGGTAACTTCAGTTACTGTTTCGCTTTTGCAATTATCCAGTCCTCTAGACTTTTTTTCTCGTCCTTCGTAAGTGTAGCTTTGGGTCCCATTTTACGAATTGGTAGAGTAATACCTCTTATTTGTTATTTAAAGTTGCTTTTGGTATTCCAAATTTTATAGAGGCTGTGTTTTGGGACAAAGTACCCATTCTTATTTCATTAAGAGCGAGTCGTAACTGGTTTTTGAATATCTAAATCTTTGGTAGGGCTTCTTTGGAGATGACTTTGGTGGTATTATTGAACTTTTACTCAAAGCCCTGTTTCGTAGTTTACTATGCAGGGTAGCTTTAGGAATATTGTATTTCTTGGCTGCTCCATGCTGTCTAAGACTACCACTTCGAACTTCTTTACTAGCGAAGGTTAACTGGTCCTTAGAATATTTTCGTTTGTCCATCTATGAAAAAAATCAAATTAGGTTCAAAAAAATAGTAAATACCAGTTGTTCATTCACTGCGATAACTTTAAAATCGATGGCACAAATAAATGAACGAGGGGTAAACCCCCGTCCATTTACTGGATACGAATGTTGGATATATTAAAGAGATATACAGTATCATGCCAGGGTAACCACTTGATGTTTTGGAACACAAATTCACGCAATATTCAAATCATCTGAGGGTTCTAGTATATGAACAACCGTTCATTTACTGGAATACGCAAAAATATTAAGCTCCAGTGAATGAATACATAAAATACGATAAAATAACCTAAAATCTAGCTACTTGATTAACAATTGCAAATTTACACTACTTACAACTACTAAACACTATAATAGACGCGCCTTTAATATAGCAATAACTAAAATTTAGAAAATTTTACAGTGGTTTGTAGTACGTACCTTATTAGCCAGTGTTCACACCACGTCCTTCAGTATGTACAATAACAATCCACCATTATAGTTTCTAATAATCACGTGTCAGGTTTAAGCCAATCAATGTACGTCATAGCAAAACCCTCATAATATATACAGTATCCATAAAGCTTATTTTAACATATATATTCCGAATTTTAAGAATTTGATATTTCTGTGTTCATGTTTTTCGGTTTATGTTCATCGGTGTGTGTCTATTTACTAGTACCTTTACCCTATGTCTATTTTGACCTTACTGTCATGCTTATAATCTCGTCTTTAATTATAGTACTAAACTTAAGTCATATTATACTATGACCAAGTTAATGCAGACGTAACACTTTTACAATGAATGTCAATAATTGTATTTTTCATGTTTTTAATAAATTAATATTACCATTCGGCATGGAGAAAATTATTTTGATTTATTACATTGGAATCAATATTTGATACCGGTCGAATGAAAGTTCCACCTACATAGTTTATTATTGTTAGTAGATATAAAAAGAAACTGTTTAAATTTTACCATACCATACGTAACATATTGTAGTCTGCCCACATTTCCTTTTCTTGAATAACTGACCTAGAGTGTAATAAGATTTGTTGCGAGATTAATGAGTCTTATATTGCAGTATAACAGCCTAGGGAATAAAACTTCGTTTATTATATCTCTATTTATAGCTAACATTTTTAATAACTACCGCCGTAGTAATATTAACTGTAGGAAGCTAAAAAATTGAGAAAGACATGAAGTAATAATGTATAAAAATTTAACCAAGAACTAGTAATTAAAACTATTAAATTGCGCATTAAGTTAACACATTGTTTACTATTAATCCGAATTATTCGGACTATTTTTTTCATGACTTTCTTCCACGAGAGTGAGGATAAAGTTATAGACATTGCTTTACACGGAAAAAACCTTTATCCTTTCTCTTAAAAATTACATTTAAAAGAAGTCTACACAGTATCCAAGATACAATTTTTCAAAGTTTGCCATTTTTGGGTCATTTTCCATACTTTTTCGCAATTTTTTTTTCTACTTACTATTCGTTGCAAGATAATTCGGCTGGAATTCCCAGATTAAGACACTGGGCCGATATCTAGCCCAAAATGACTGTACTCCCTTAATGCTGTAACGAATAGTCACCATTAGTCCTTCGTTACATTAGGTTCAATTTTAAATTCTATCCAAAGTTTAAAGGTACTTTACTAAAAGATACAAAGTAGGTGTAGCCAGGTAGAGGTAATAGATTTTGGGAACAGCTATGACCTTGAACATTTCACATAAACTTGTGTACTAAATAGGCATAATGCATAGCTCTTGTCAAAATCCAATACATTAATAATATAATTATATATCTTCGATTCTAAAATATTATAAAAGACTTTAAAGAGTCTGAGTAAGAAAAGAGATTTAGTTATATTCTTTGTGGCATTTTCAAGGTCATAGCTGTTCCCAAAATCCATCAACTCTACATATTTCAATTTTGAGTTGTTTTTTTCTAATTGCCATATTGCTAGATTCCAGTAAGAGCCTAGAAGGTATCCATTGAATTCTGACAGTCAACGGTCGGGGAAATATTTTTTTGGCATCTACGTCACGGAAGAAGACACCCTGCATCTTTCGGCCGAGTAGAATACTAGGCCAGAAGACCCCAGGATAGTGCCGGATTAACCGTGTTCCGGCTAAAACTTTAACCATCGTTAAGCCATACACTAATAAATAATATTAACCATAAATTTCGGATCCCTGGCTCAATTTCCTTCTCTGTCCTTCTGCTCCTTTTCTTTATCGCTCCAGAAATCAAACAGTGTACTTCTCTCCATTCTTTTTCTTCTCTTAACATTATGTTTACAATGTTTTTTTCATCCAGCCAAAACCCATTCGCCTCTTGAAATCTCCCTCTTATTTGCCTCATCTCTGACTGGTAAAAAATGTGGCGGGAGCGTCGGTACCCGCACAAAAAGTACAGTCTGCCGAGGCAGATTTGACTATTCTATTTGTGAAGGTGCCAAAACTACCATGCCCGGTCAGAAACTGCGTCAGGAAGTAGTCTAGTTTCCGGAACTTACATTTCCACGACGGTCTCAGATCGGAATAAGCTCCTTCGTCCACCTTGCCTTACACTATCATTCGCACATTCTCTCTGCCAATCTACTATCGTTCTTTCTCTCTCATTTTCATCTATAGTTACATCCGTCCTTCTCGCATACATCCTCGCTCGCTCTTTGCACAACAAAACGATCGGTATCACGCTCCAAGACATATAGATCCTTATTTTAAACTGTCCTATATGCACTGGATACCCTGAGAAGCATTCGCCGTTGCAAAGTCTTCATCAGCTTAGCGTATTTTGCAGTGTTTAGTACGCTACGCCACACGGGGGCAGCACAAAATTTGAAAAACTGGAATAGTCGCCCTTTAATCATAAATAATCTTCTTGCCTTGCCAGGCTGACAGTAATATCGTATCGAAATTTTTTTAAAATATGTCACTTAGCTAATAAAAATATAACACTTTTCAATTAATAATCAGTTTTTTTCCATTATAATTAATACAGTTAGGAGGAATCTAAATAAACAAATCTTATCGGCCTAAGAATAAACATCGTTTCTGCTGAGTGTGTGATGAGATCATTCGGTTATACAAAATTTTCTGAAATAGCACGGCTAATATTCAAAAGTATCGAGACAAATTAATGACATATAATGTCGCCTACCGTGTAAACAAAATACCGAAATATTTAGAATAACGAAGTAACAATATATAATTCTCGTTTGTTATTAGATACTTAGGGTATTGGATAATAACGAACATAAAGTACTTTTTAGACATCACTAAACTTCATTCTCAATTGAGCTTTCCTTTGAGTCTAATGTATTAATTGTTTTTCATCTAATCCTTGTTGTTCTCGGAGTGACAAGTTTACAATTTGACATAAGGGACAAATATTCAAATAGTTCTAGAAGGATTGGTTCACTAGAAGAAGTGAGCATTGGAGTTATAGATCTAAAAGACTTAACAGTAAATTTGATGAGTTTTTCCAAATAATTTATGTATTCCAAATTGCTTTGTGTAAATTATAGCTACATAGAAATGTTGAAACGAAAATGAAAAACATTTTTTTGCTTTAATAAGTGGATTATAGTTTGTTCTCTGAACATCTCAAGAATCTGTGGCCTAAATACATGTATGTGGATGTTTTGCCACATACCAATCTTTTGTAAGATTTTCATTTCATATATGGTGAGGGGTCCATCAATCCCTTTCTAGGCAGATAATGTTCTTTAAAATGCAGTCAAGTTTATGTCAGTAATGTTTTTTTTGTGTTTTAACCATGTTTTGCACATGTAAGCATAATAAATGCCAACCTTTATTAAAAAACAGATTGACTTTCGTGGAGCATGGTAGATAGCTGAGTTAGTTAGAGCATAGGCACGGATCTCTTAGATAGTGGCTTCAAACCCTAACCGGTGTTAGTTGTTTAGACATTTATTAATTTGGGTGGTCTTTATTATGACTACTAATTAAAGCTTAAAATGTGCTTGTTATGTTAAATGATACGTTGTTCTAAAGATCTAAAGTAACGTTTAATAAATAGCAAAAGGCTAATGCGTAACTGCAAGACTTGTAAGACCAAGACCAAGACCAAGACCAGGTGTATTGGCACAAGACCAAGACCAACACTGTCTAAGTCGCGTCTTAGATTCATTCATTGATCTTGCTTCATCCATTCTTGTTTACTTTGTACAGTAGGTATCTCTTTGTGATTTCCTATAGTTCCATAAACTATCTTCCATATTACGACTATCTTCATATTCAGAAAAGTGTCGGTACATAGTGTCGTTTAGATATAATAAAGGCGAAGTCTTAAATGCCATTTAGTTCTTAAAAGATGTTGGATGTAAATAAAATAACTCTAGAGAGTGCAATTATTGATTTAGTATTGCAAACATGTTGGAGATCTCTAGTGTCCTACATAAACACAAAGCAAAAATCTTACTAACCTTGACCGCAGTAGTATATTCTGGTTGTTAACTTATTCAAATTAAAGTTCGTTTGTAAATAAATCCAATTTTAGTTTAGAACTTAAACAAGAGACTGGTACGTCCTTAGAAGGACGTTTATTCACCGTGTGGTGTAATCGATTTATATTACAAGCAGTAGGTACTTATGAACAGAGTCTGACTAGCTCTAATTTTATTTTAATTCTTTTTTATATTTATGTTTTATTATATTTTATTTATATATATTTTATTATATTTATTATATTTATATGTTTATGTGTTTTAATGCAATTTTGTTCTTATTTGCCTTTTTTTCGTATTTTATTAATGTCAAATTTTATAGAATTTTCAAATTATAAGTGGCCCATTCTGATAATTATTTTATTGGGTTCTTTTGATCTGTGATACGGCGAATATTGTTCAAATATATCATAAAGCTTAACTGTATACTTTCGATGATCTCTTTATAGAAGAACACAATAAGGGGCAATTATTAGCTTGATTATTTTGTCACTATGGATTATCTTAATACG